TTGATTCCTCAGCACCACATAAGCAAAAAGAAAAAAGCCGGAAGTGGCGCCGTGGCTCAAGTGGTAGAGTGCTAGCCTTGAGCTGAAGAGCTGAGGGACAGCGCCCAGGCCCAGAGTTCAGGCCCCACTACCGGACACCCCAAAAAAAAAAAGATTATCAGACAAAAAGACTTGCCAGACAAATACTGGTGGCTCATACATGTAATCCTAGCTACTCAGGAATCGGAGACCTGAAGTTCCAAGTTTTAATTCCACCTGGGCAAAAAAGTCAATGATACTCATCCCCAATTACCTAGCAAAAAGCTGGACTGGAGATGTGACCCAAGTGGTACAGAACCAGCCAAGCAAGCAAACGGATTGAGAATGGATTATCAGAAGTGGAGCATTGCAGTGCTGGGCGTGGGGGGTTGGTATGAATGGTGGGACAGGCACAGGGATGGAGCACGGTATAGGTGGAAACTCGCATACCTTGAGATCCCCTTTGCTGTGAGCCCCAAACAGCTCTAAACTATAATGGCTGTTAAAAGGGAAAAGACAAAGGCAAAGGGGGAGGAAGAGGGATCAGAGCAGGATAGCAAGCTAAGCCCAAGTGGCATCGGCAGGGCGGGCAGGTGGGACTCACCTGGAGCGAGCTGGCCATCACCGAATGCAGCAGCAGCAGGCGGTCCAGCGTGCCCTCGCCCAGCTCCTGGGCGTACAGCCGGTAGCACTGCTCCAGGGGCTCCGGCACCGGGATGCCGCTGTCTGGGGACCAGGCAGACAGAGGTCAGAGCAGCCAGGCAAAACATCTGCCGTATGCCGCAAGAACAAATACTTGTGTGGGAAGTTTGAATGCACACACTTCATCCCACTGGGCGCAGGTCACAGCTGCCATCCTAGCTACTCAGGAGGCTGAGATCTGAGGATCTCAGTTCAAGCAGAAAAATCCCCATGAGACTCTTATCTCCAATGAGCCACTCAAAAACCGGAAAAAACTGGAGCTGCCGTTCAAAGTAGTAGAGTGCTAGCCTTGAGCAAAAGAACTCAGGAACAATGTCCAGGCCCTGAGTTCAAGCCCCAGGACAGGCACAGAAAGAAAAGAAAGTGAGAGATTGAGGCCCCACGTTCAAATCCCAGCAACCAACAAAAAGAGAGAAAAAAGAAAGTCACAAGATGCCTCCCCAAAAGAGCTCTCTGCAGCCTAAATTAAGTATCAACCGTGCAGAATGACAGTGATGACATTTGCATACTCCAAGCCCTGCAACATTTCATGCTCACACAGGTCCCACGTGCACACCAAGCCAAGGCGTGTCCTCTCTCCCTGGTGACTCCTTGCTGTCTTCACAGCTCTGTCTCCTTTCTGGTCAGCCCCCTTTGAAATGACACACCCTGTGGGACCAGCTGCTGGTGTCTTACCCCCCCCCCACTCTCCCAAGGACACTGCCAGCCCCAAGGGACAGGGCCTGCCAGAGGGTCTACAGACACAGTCCCTGACAACCTGTTCAATGCTGGCTTCTGAAGGTTTGCAGAATGAATGGATGAATGAGACATGGATTCTTCTCCCTCCCCACAGCATCCTGATGGTGGAGATAAGCTGGCCTGAGAGCCGACAATGGCTGTGGAAGAGGAAGCAGTATGGGGCAGGGCCATGTCCCTGTTCATGGCCATCTATCTCTGCATGGTGGCTCACACCTGTAATCCCAGCTATTTGGGAGGCAGAGGTAGGAAGAGCCATTCTGCAGCTCTTCCTAACTTGGCCTGGGCAAAGCATAAGGCCCTCTTTGAAAAACTAAAAACAAAAGGACGGAGGTCATGGCACAAGTGGCAGAGCACCTGTTTAACAAGCGTACGGCCCTGAGTTCAAACCCCAGTATTACCAACGGAAACAAGACCAAATATGATGCTCCAGGAAAGCTCCCAAGGAGAGGCAGAGACAAAGTCACCTGACAGGAGCTGACCAGAGAGGGGCCCCCACTACACAGCTACGCACAGGAGCAGGCAGAGTCAGCCAGGAGGAAAGGGAGACTGGTGAGCCGGCTTTGCCTCTGAGGCCATTCCGGGCTTCCTCCCCAAACATGGCCTCCTCCTTCTGGACCTCACCTCACACAGGTGAGCCCACACCCAAGCGTCCTCACCTCGCAGCAGCTGCCTCTGGCCCTGGATGAGCTGCTGGCAGAGCAGCCGGTGCTGGTGGTAGCGCTGGATTACAAAGTCCTTCTGGCCCAGCAGGTTCTTCCGGCACAGACTGGTAGCCTGCAGCTCCGTGTTCTCCACCTCCAGTTCATGGGCCCGGCACAGCAGCTGGAGGACCTCTCGCTGGGCCTGGCTGGTCACTTGCTCTGGCAATAGCTGCTCCATCTGTGATGCCTTCTGCTTGGCATGGGCCAGGCGCTGCTCCAGCCCGGCCTGTGGGAGAAGCAGAGAGCTCAGGACAGACCTGGGGCTCAGCCGGCCCTCGGGTGTTCCCAAACTTGCCAGAATCCTCAAAGGATTCACATGTGGTGATTGGGTCTGAGAACCAATGCCATCCCCAGTGCTGAGTGCATCTTCTGTTTTCAGAACTCAGATGCTCTGTGCCAGGCAGAGTGGCCTACACCTATAATTCCATCTATGCAAGAATTTGAGGTAGGACAATCCTAGTGCAAGGCTAGCCCTGGACAAACAGCACCCAGACCCTGTCTGATAAAATAACCTAAAGCTAAGCCAGCTGCTGGTGGCTCACGCCTGTCATCCTAGCTACTCAGGAGGCTGAGATCTGAGGATCACGCTTCAAAGCCAGCTCAGGAAGGAAAGTCCATGAGACTCTTATCTCCAATTAACCTCCAGAAAACTGGAAGTGTTGCTGTGGCTCAAGTGGTAGAGCACTAGCCTTGAGCTAAAGAGCTAAGGGACAGCGACCAAGCCCAGAGTTCAAGCCCTACCACTGACAATAATTACAACAACAATAATAGATAATATAAAGCCATAAAAGTCTGAATGTGCGGGTCAGTCATAGAGCATCTGCCTAGCAAGTGCAAGGCCCTGAGTTTAAATGCAAGTATAATTCCTCACACATTCTGATGTTTTGACACTGGCCTCGCTGATCCTGGAGTGGCTGCTCCCCTCCTCCCAGGCTTAAACAGCTTCTGGAAGGGCAAACTCACTGTGGGCCTGATTTTCAAATTCAAGTGATGCACAGCCTGGCCTCTAGGCCCTTCACCTTTTCTATTGACACATGATGTGTTCAGTGCTGCCACATGCTCTCCCTTTCCATTTGCCCAGATGTCATCCTGCTGGACTGGCAGGATACTGCTGAGCCACACCTCCAGCCCTGTTTTTCACTTCCCACCCAGGCACATGCCTGAGCATCGATCCCCCCTTATAAGGTTTCGTGTCTTCGCTGGGAGCACAGGCACACTGCCATCGCTTCCAGCTTCTCTCCCTGGAGACACTCTTATGGACTGTTCTGTCCCAGTGAGCCTGGCACCTTGATCCTCCCTCCTAATTTCAGCCTCCTCTGCCCAGCTTCAGGTTGAAAAAGGATCCCGTGAAGTTTCCTATCTGTGCGGGCCTCAAACTGAGATCCTCCTGTTCTCAGCCAACCAGTAGATAGCTGGGAGTCACCAGCCTCTGCCACCCTCCCCCTTTCCACTGGAAGTGGAATTGTATCACCTCCATATTGCTGTGGGTAGATGTCATCATATTAAGTTCTTGCTTTGGTTCCATAGCTTTGAAGTGAAATAGACGCTTCCAGAATGAGACATGCTAGTCTTTCTCCTGAAAATATGCCTACAGCACTGCACCACTGTGCTCCAGTGGAGCCTGGCTCCGCTGGCAGCGTCCCCAAAGACGCCATCCCATACCAGGTGAGTGAGTTTTCTGAGGTGAGACGCTTAGATAACAAATGTTCTATTAATAGCTCATCTACGCAGCTGGTGCTCACAGGGTAACAGAACCAGAGCTGGGTGTGGCTCCCCTGATTCCCCTGCCAGGACCACAATCAGGGGGACCCTGAGTATCCCATGGATGGATGGCATAACTCTGCAAACCATTAAGCACCTGGCAGATGGGGAAGTTCCTGCAAAGGAATGGGGGGGGTCTCTGAGCAATTTTCTGACCACCTGTACCCCATTTTTCTAGCCACTGTACACGGCCCCCTGCAGAGCCACAACACCAACAAAGAGCCCCCCACCCCCAGTCCTAGCTCAGCACCTCCTGCCCTCTGGGGCTTGGGGACACTGGGAGGTGGCTTCCTGCAGTTAAGCCCCCTCGCCCCTGGGTGAACGCTCACCTTCAAGGCTGCGGTTTTCCTCTGCTCGGCTAAAAGCAGGTTGACTTCCTCTCTGGCCAGAGCCACCTCGTGCGGCTCCCCCGACTCCGCCTCGTCCGCGTCAGCATCCGCCGGCTCCTCATCCTTGTCCAGCTCGCCCCTGTCCCTGGGTGCCTGCTGCTGGGACTTCTCCCGCTCCCAGCTGCAGCCACGATAGAGGCATCAGAGCCTGGGGGTCTCCTCGCATCAGAGCCTGGGGGCCTCCTCGCAGCTGCCCACCAAAGGAGCTTTCCTCCCGTCCCTGGACACTACTACAGAGAATGCTCCGCCAATCACCGTTTCCTTGCTAGAAAGCTGGGGTTACAACCGTCCATGGGCCTGGGGCTCGGTCAGGGTGTCAGTGACATGGGATCTGTGGACAAGGACCCCAGATCGAGTCTCCATGCGGGCTCTGTAGAAACCAGGTGGAAAGGAGGCCTGAGGACAGGCCTGAGGTGTGGCCAGAGCGAGGGGAAGACACCAAGAGGGTGCTTTTACATTTTAGAATTCCTCCAGTGTAAGTCTTCTGTTTGTGGGGCCAAGAAGAGAAAAAGGGAGAGAGAGAGGAAAGAAGGAAGGGCAGGCAGGGCAGGGTAGGGCAGAGTCAGGTGCCAGTGGCTCACGCCTGTAATCCTAGCTACTCAGGAGCCTGAGATCTGAGGATCATAGTTCAAAGCCAGCCTGGGCAGAAAAGTCCATGAGACTCTTATCTCCAATAAACCACCAGAAAACAGGAAGTGGCTCTGTGGCTCAAGTGGTAGAGCACTAGCCTTGAGCAAAAGCAGCTCAGGGACAGTGCTCAGATCCTGAGTTCAAGCCCCAGGACTGGCAAACAAAACAAAACAAAATTAAATTAAAAAAAAACCCAAGAGGACTTGGGGTCTGATTCAAGTGTAGGAGAGTGCCCATGTAGCAAGTATGAGGCAACCATGCCCTTCCAGCCCTAAGTGTCCTCATGTTGGTGCTGGGCATCACACTCAGTCTCTGCACATGGTCTCCCTAGGGATGGATGGGGACTAAGTGTACAATGATAGCACTGTGGAGATACACAGCCACAAGCCAATCCATGTTTCTGAGCTTCAACACTGGGCAGGTAGAGGCGTGCCTCAGCAGTAGAGTACCTGTCTAGTAAGTATGAAGCCTTGAGTTCAAACCCCATATGGCCAGGAAAACACACACACACACACACACACACAAACCCAAAAACCTCTGACCCTCAGCAGCCTGTTCTGTAAATGGTCTCGGTTCTTGGTGAAACACCAGGGCTCGTGCTGGGCTCCAGGCCTGTGAAAGACGCGGGGTATGGGCCCAGGAGCAGGGGAGGAACAGGGACAGGAGTCCTGCCCAGGCTTAGGTCCTTATTGCAGAGAGAAGTAACCAAAGATGCTGCCCAGGATGGAGTCTGGGGGCACTGTGGGTGAGGCAAGCAGGCATGGGGGGCTGTGGATGGGGGACTCAGGCAGGTACTCACTCAGCGAGGGTCAGCAGGTGGCGGGACATGTCCACGTGCAGCTCAATGTTGGTGTTCTCCAGCTCTACCAGGCTGCGCCGCATCTCCATTTGCTCTCTGAATGCCCCAATGAGCTGCGCCCGGATCTTGTCCACCTGCAGCCGACTCTCTTCCTCGGCGTCATGCGGGGTGACAGTGACTGGGGGCAGGAAGGGGCTGGCTGTACTGGAGTGGGGTCAGCCAACCCAGGGCTGGACTTCACGTTCTCTTACCAACACATGGAAGAGTGTCATCTATATGTGCATGGGTGGTAGATGAGTGGATGGACAGATAAATGGATGGGTGGGTAGATGGATGGATTCACAGATGGATATGGATAGATTGGATAGGTGAGTGGATAGGTAGGTAGATGGATAGATGGATGGATAGGTGGGTAGATGAGTGGACAGATGGATGGATAGGTGGATTGACAAGTGGACAAATGGATGGTTGGATGGACAGATGAATAGATGGATGAATGGATGGATAGATAGGTGGGTAGATGGAAGGATGGAGTAATGACATATGGGTGGATAGATGGATGCATGGTTGAAAGATAGATGGATTAGTGGATGGATAAAAGGATGGGTGGATGGGTAGATATATGTATTTTAGATGCATGGGTGGATGTGTAAATGGATGGATGATTGGGTGGATGGATGGATGATTGGGTGGTGGATGGATGGATGGATGGAGGAGTGACTAGATGGAGGGCAGGTTGTTTGTGGAGGGATGGGTAGATGAAGGAATGATAGGACCGCTGGGTAAATGGATGAAAGGCTCAGAGGTATTTAAATCCTCTGTCTGGTTTGGGTCAGGTGATCTATATTTAAGTTTCAGAAACTCAGAGTGATGAGGCTGGGCTCACCCTGGAAAACCCAGAGTGGAAAACCACTCTGGCTCCCAGTCACTTGCTTGGGAATGGTCCTGGCCTCTCTTTCCCAGTTCTCTGCTGTTTGCACTCAGATAACATCTACACAGAATGGATGCATCACATCTGCCCCTCCCGCAGGGCTTCTAGCCCCTCAGAGCAGGCCTACATCTGTCTCTGTCCTTCTTCCCATGGCAAATTCCCACCTGATAATCCTGCATCATTTAATAATGGTCTTTATATACTCCTGTTTTATGCGGGTGAGGATTGAGCCCAGGGCCTTGTACAAGCCTTCCACCTGAGTCTTCTGTAGCCCCTGATTAGAGGTTTACACACCTGTCCCTATAGGGAGCCGCATGCTGGACACATACATTTGTCACCTGTTACCCTGACCTTGACAGACACATGACCAGCTACTTTCTTGCTGGGAAGTCTGGATTGGCAAAATCAGTTGCAGTTGATCTAACAAGCAAATCGTGGTAGCCATTAAAACAGGATGTGAGGTGGGCTGGGAAGTTGGCTCAGTGGTAGAGTGCTTACCTCGCATGTGTGAGGCCCTGGGTTCAATTCCTCAGCATCACATAAGTAGAAAAAAAGCCAGAAGTGGCACTGTGGCTCAAATGGTAGGGCACTAGCCTTGAACTGAAGATCTAAGGGACAGTGCTCAGGCCCAGAGTTCAGCCCCCAGGACCGACCAAAAACAACAACAACAAGATATGGGAACTGGGCATGGTGGCTCATGCTTGTAATCCTAGCTACTAAGAAGGCTGAGATCCAGAGAATCATAGTTCCAGGCTGGCCCTGGCACAAAAATCCAAGAGACTCTATCTCTTATTAACCAGCCAAGTGCCAAACTGGAGGCATAACACACGTAAAAGATTACCAGCTGAGCAAACGGGTCCCAGCAAGCAAGCTTGAGGCCCTGAATTCAAATGTTAGTACCAGAAAAACAAAACAAAACAAAAATGTGGGAAGCCCTTGCCAGCCTGAAAAACACTTCGGGAGATGCAGAGGGCATAGCAGAATTTAAGGGGGTAAATGCTGACACTCCTGTTGGGCCCTCTTGTTATAATAGAGCATTAAGACTAGCCCTGACTAAGAGCCAGTCCCCAGAAGTATAGTAGCATCTCTCTCTGAGGACCGTGACCCTGCAGAGCCCAACCTCTACCTCCTGAGTCTCTACTGACCTGTGGGACTCAACCTGGAATCACCCAGATCATCTGTGCTGTGAGCTCCCTTCGCCCTTTTTCCAACAGAATCCTAAATTCACCAGAGAGAGAATAGATGCCTGAGTGCTCTGGGAGGCCTACCCAGGTGGGATGCGCAGGCTGGGTGCACCCCCTGTGGAATTCTATGAGAAATAGGGAGGGGGCCACTGTGGAGGCAGAGAACCCCAGACTCACAGCTAGGGAAAAAGCAAGGGAAGGAATAGTAGCTCTCAACCACATGTGGTAGTGCATTCCTGTAGTCCAAACTAAGCAAACAGAGACAGCAGGATCACTTAAGTCTAGGAAATTGAGACCAGTCTGGACCAAGTGCCAGGACTGAGCCAAGAATGACAAGGGTCCCACAGGACAGAGGTCCTGGCCTCAGTGCCCTGGGAGTGTGCAGGGGTACACTCCAGATCCTGGCTCAGCCCTTACCTTGCACACCTGGGCCACCAGGCTCTCTTTTCTTTTCCTTGTCCTGCTTCTCAATTTTTGACTTGAGGTGCTCGATCTCCCTGCGCAGGTCGGAGATGACGTCCGTGTACTGTGCAATGCGGTAGGAGACATTCAGAAGGTTGCGCTTGACCTGGAAGCGGGGACAAGGTCAGCCAAAGTCAGCCCTGCATCCTTAGCACACACTGGAGGCGGGCATGGAATGTGGTTATGGATGAGTTTCAGCCAGTGCTTTCTGCTGGCCTTGACATTCTGGCACATTCTCCAATATAGGAGTACCTGGAAGGTGTTATGCCCGGTGGAACGGGTCAGACACAAAAGGACAAATACTGTGAGATTCTATGCTGGGGTCCCCAGGGCCTCCATTCCCAGGGACAGAGGTAGAAGATAGAGCCAGGGCGGTGGAGGGGGTGAATCATTCCCCTTTTAGGAAGATGAGAAACCTCAACATGTCTAATGCCACCCAACTATACACTTTAAATGTTTCAAATGACCTGGGTGGCCATGGGTCACACCTATAATCCCAGCTACTCTGAGATCTGAGGATCGAGGTTGGAGGAAGCCAACCCAGGCAGAAAAGTCCATGAGACTCTTATCCCCAATTAATCACCAAAAAAAACAGAAGTCGAGCTGTGGTTCAAGTAGTAGAGCCCTACCCTTGAGTGATAAAGCTCAAGGATGGTGTCAAGGTGGCCCTGAGTTCAAGTCCTAGTACCTATTAAAAAAATAAAAATGTCAAAAAAAGAGAAGAAGGCCAGGTGCTGGTGGCTCACGCCTGTAATCCTAGCTTCTCAGGAGACTGAGCCAGCCCAGGAAGGAAAGTCTGTGAAACTCTTACCTCCAGGGCTGGGAAGGTGGCTCAGTGGTAGAGTGCTTGCCTTGCATGCCTGAGGCCCTGGGTTCGATTCCTCAGCACCACATAAGCAAAAAGAAAAAAGCTGGAAGTGGCGCTGTGGCTCAAGTGGTAGAGCGCTAGCCTTGAGCTGAAGAGCTGAGGGACAGCGCCCAGGCCCAGAGTACAGGCCCCACAACCGGACCCCCCCTCCAAAAAAAAGAAACTCTTACCTCCAATTAACCACCAGAAAATCGGAAGTGGCTCAAGTGGTAGAGCGCTTGCTGTAGCTGAAGAGCTGAGGGACAGCACCCTGGCCCAGAGTTCAAGCCCCACATGACCCAGCCACCAGCCAGGAGCACCTAAGCCTCCTGAGGGCCAAAGCAGAGGGTCCTTCCCTAGGCAAGGAAAGGAACCTGGCCTACACACCCCATTCTCCCACCAGTGGGAGGGGAGTCTGCACTGTTGTAAGTCTCAGGTTTGCAATCCCTCCCTGTCAGCCACAGCACTGGTCCCCCCAACCCCCCCCAGGTACTGCGGGGCCTCAGGGGCTGCTGCTTTCCATCTTATCTCTCTGCTTCAAATTAATGGACATGAGCAGAGGCCAGTAACCAGCCAAGAGCAGCTTTGCAGGGCTCACCCATGTCTGTGGCAAAGGAGTAAGCCAATGAGGGGGAAGGGAAGAAATCTGAGTAAAATAGTGAATGAATGAGTGAGCATATGAATTAATGAATGAATGTGTGAGTAAATGAGTGAAAAAGTGAATAAATGAATAAGTGAATGAGTGAATAAATGAATAAGCAAGTGAATAAATGGATAAGTGAATGATTAAGAGAGTGAATAAATGAGTGAGTGAATGAGTGACAGGGTGAATGAATAAGCGAGTGACTGAATAAGTGAGTGAGTGATGAATGAATAAACAAGTGATGAATGAATGAGAGTATGAATGAGTAAGTGAGTAATGAATGGGTAAGTGGCTGAATGAATGAATGAGAGGGTGAATGAATAAGTAAATGATGAATGAATGAATGAATGAGCAAGTGAATAAGTGACAGGGTAAATGAATAAATGTGTGAGGGAGTGAGCCAGGCTCACCCGAGTCTTGATGTTCTTGGCTCTGTAGGCATAGAGCAGTGTGGTCCGTGACTCCTCGAAGCTGGAGCTGGCCGGGCTGATGTGCGCAATCATCACTGTTCGGCTGTTTCCTCCCAGGGCATCCTGTTCCGGGGAAGTGGCAGAGCTGAGTGGTGGAGCCACATGGCCTCCACCTGCCCAGTGCTGTCAGGCCTGGACCAAAGCCTGGGAGGGGCAGTGAATGCTGGGGGCGGTGCCTGGGGAGACAACCCACAGGAACAAAGCCGTGCCCCATTCAGGTCCACCCAGCCTGCCTGCTGCTGACCAAGCAGATGCCACCAGGGGCTGGACTTGGAGCATCGATTTGTCCACTTGTTTGATCCTACCTTGCTATAGGACCAAGTGACAGCATCTACTCAGGATTAAAGAAAGGATTATTTTTTGTCAGTTGTGGGGCTTGAACTCTGGGCCAGGGCACTGTCTCTGAGCTCTTCAACTCAAGGCAAGTGCTCTACCACTTGAGCCACAGTGCCACGTTCAGTTTTCTGGTGGTTAATTGGAGATAAGAGTCTCACAGACTTTCCTGCTTGGGCTGGCTTTGAACTGCGATCCTCAGATCTCAGCCTCTTGAGTAGCTAGGATTACAGACATGAGCCACAGCACCCAGCAAGAAAGAATTTTTGTTTTGTCCCTGGGGCTTGAACTCTGGGCCTGGGCGCTGTTACTCAGCTCTTCAGCTCAAGGCTAGCGCTCTATCATTTGAGCCATAGCTCCACTTCCACTTTTTCTGCTTCTGTGGTGCTGAGGAATAGAGCCCAGGGCCTCATGCATGCAAGGCAAGCACTCTACCGCTGAGCCCAAGAAAGCATTTTTTTATACATCATATCAGAACCATCTGTGATGGGGAGGTAGTAAGCTCACTGTCACTGGAGGTATTCAAGCAAGATTCAGAGGGATGGAGGGAGAGACAGGGAGTTCCCAGAATACTGTGTATGCAGTGTCCTTCCCTCAGAGGTTCTGAGAAGGGCCCTTAGGCTCAAGTCTGGGCCTCTTTCCTGCAGGTAACTCCTGGAAGCTGCCAGCAGCTGCTGAGGCTCACCTCACCCTCACAGAGGGCCACACTCACCTTCAGGAGGCGCGTGAGTTTGCTGTCACGGAAGTTCACATATTGAGCACGGCTGCCGCCCTTCTCGCTGAGCGCGTTGATACAGTTGCCCAGTGCCAGCAGCGAGCGGTTGATGTGTGCGCCCTCCTTCATCCTTTTGCCTCTGTTCTGGGTCTGTGCAGGGAGAGCAGTCTGTGCCAGGCTGAACAGGGGGTCCACCCATCATCTCCCCTCCCCATTCACATGGAGGGGAGCCTCAGGCCCAGATGAGCCCTGGGCAGGACTGCACAAAGGCCATACAGAAAAACTTGGGCTTTACATGAAAAACATGACTCAAAACCCAAATACTGGCCTGGGAATGTGGCTTAGGGGTAGAGTACTTGCCTAGTATCCAAGAAGCCCTAGGTTTGATTCCTCAGTACCACATACACGAAAAATGCTGGAAGTGGCACTGTGGCTCAAGTGGTAGAATGCTAGCCTTGAGCAAAAGAAGCTCAGAGACAGTGCCTAGGCCCCGAGTTCAAGATCCAGGACTGGCAACAAACAAACAAACAAATACTGCATACTTCCTCTCAGAGGAAGAGTCTAGATTTAAAAACAAGGGTGTGAGCATGGAAGGGAGGCTCTGGGGACCCAGTCATGGGTCAGAGGGAAGAAATGGGGTGCGGGGAGAATATGATCAAAGTATGTTATATAAAGTATGGACATGCCACATGGAAGCCCTGATCTGTGTAATTAATACACTAGTGTATAGGAAAAGAAACAATTAGATGCTGGTGGCTCAAACCTATAATCCTAGCTACACAGGAGGCAAAGATCTGAGGATCACGGCTCAAAGTCATCCTGGGCAAGAAAGTCTGTGAGACTCTTCTCCCATTAATCACTAGAAAACTGGAATTGGAGCTGTGGCACAAAGCCTTGAGCAAAAAAGCTCAGGGACAGCACCCAGGCCCTGAGTTCAAGCCCCACAACTGACAAAACAAAAGCAAAAACAAAACAAAAAAAACCACCAATTAATCTGGATACGGTGTGGTATGCCTGTAATCCCAGCCAACTCAAGAGGTAAAGGTGGGGTCTGAATAGATAGCTTCACACTACCTAGGCAGATGCTCGGGTTTAGCCTTCCTCAAGGGTGAACACAGGTGTGGTGGGGCTCAGTCTCACCTCTTCTGTCCCCCCATTGATGCCAGTCCCCCATTAACACAAGAAGCCCCCATTAATGCCAGCTCTGTGAATTCATTCCCTCAATAATCTTTGCCAGTGCCTCTTCCAGGCTGCATGCTATTCCTTTTGCTAAAATCACAGCTGGACAATGTCCTGCTCAGGCTGAGGGTGACAGATGCCCAGTGTGTGGGGCCTGACCTGGGCTGCACGCTCTGAGCCGGCCAGGTCCACCATGAACAGCCTCCCCAGCCGTACTTCCTCAGCCAGGTCAGCTGCCCGACTCCGCTGGTGCACGGTGACCTGCAGCACGGCGTGGGAGCGAGATGATGTCTTGTTGGTGGCAGTGGGCTCCTGTGTCCGTTGCCGGTTGCCTTTGGTGAGCAGCTGCATGATCTGAGGTCAAAGGCAGAAGCAGGCGGGAGGTCACAGGTCCCTGTGTGGCCACATGGGTCTTCTAGAGGTACCCAAAGAAGTGGAGGAGGGGTGGCCACAGAGCTTGGGGCTTTGTACACTGCCCCTGCCCCTTGTCTGTTCATGGCAGACATCACCAATGGATTACCCAGAATGGCCCCAGGCCCCTTTTCATTTAGAACTTGGGCGGTTGTAAGTTAGCTGGAGTTGGCATGTGCAGTGTGAACTTGGGGAACTCAAACTCAAGACAGCAAACCTCTGCTGAGCACCTGCTGTATCCAAGTCCATGCCAGACTGCAGACTGTGCATAGAGAAAGGTTGCTACAGCCGGGCTCCGGTGGCTCATGCCTGTAATCCTAGCTACTCAGGAGGATGAGATCTGAGGATCATGGTTCCAAGCCAGCCCAGGCAGGAAAGACCGTGAGACTCCTATCTCCAATAAACCACTAGAAAACCGGAACTGGCGCTGTAGCTCAAGGGGTAGAGCGCTCGCCTTGAGCTGAAGAGCTGAGGGACAGCGCCCAGGCCCGGAGTTCAAGCCCCATGACCGACAAAAAAAAAAAAAAAAGAGAGAGAGAAAGGTTGCTACAGTTGCCATTATTCATGATCAAGCAATATCAGCATGTTAGGGTATGCCTGTAATCTCACCTACTCAGGAGGCAGAAGTAGGAAGATTGTGATTTGAGGCAAGCCCTGGGTTCAATTCCTCAGTACCACATAACCAGAAAAGGCTGGAAATGGCACTGTGGTTCAAGTGGTGGAGTGCCAGCCTTGAGCAAAAAGAAGCTCATGGACAGAATCCAGGCCCTGAGTTCAAGCCCCAGGACTGGCAAAAAAAAAAATCCCTACAAACAGCTGGGTGTAGGGTACTGGACTTGTGCCAGCAGGGCAGCACACACTCACTTGAGGTCAATAGCTGGGAGTCTGACAAAAGGGGACACAGAAACTCTGGGAGCAACACAGGGTGCGGTCAGGAAGACTACCCCAAGAGTGGCTACACAGCCAGCCAGCTAGGGAGAAGACAGGACTGTGAAAATGTTTGCAGTCTACCCTGGTAAGGAAGCCATTGTTAGGATGAGCAGGAAAAGTAGGTTCAGATCTGAGCTGGCTCAGGAGCAGCAGGTTGGGACCAGCAGGAGGGTTGTATGGACAAGGACCAGAGCCTGATCCCAGAGGCCATGGTAGGTGTGGGCTCAATGCGTGATGTCTGCCCTGACCACAGCCAAGAGGCAGAGTAAGTGTGTTTGTCATGCTCTTCCATCAAGACCAGAGGCTTGGCAACCCTGGGAGATGTGCTTGTATGAGTCTCCATTCGGTAAACTTAACCAAAACTGTTGTGAGCTTCACCCATAATTCTAGCTACTTGAGAGGCTGAGATCTGAAGCTCAAGGTTCAAAGCCAGCCTGGGCAGGAAAATCTGTGAGACTCTTGTCGCCAATTAAGCACTGAAAGTAAAGTCAGAAGTGGAGCTGTGACTAAGGTGATAGAGTGGCAGCTTTCCATGACTAACCTAAGGGACACACCCAGGCCCTGAGTTCAAGCCTTACTGCCGGCACAAAAACCTTGAGTCATGTTGTGCAGCTGCAAGCCCTCACCTCCTGGGCGTTGGAGGTGGATACCTCTGTGATCCCTGCAATCTGGATGCTGCCTTTCGAATCTTCCCTGAGGTCCAGAAACCCTGAAGATGGATTCAGCAGGTCCCGGATCACTTCATTATAAATCTGTTGTTGAGCAGGAAGGTTAGAACAAAGCAGCACTCCAAGGCCTTGCATACCACTGGGGCCTACCTGGTTGCAGGCAGAGGCTCTACCTAGGTGCCATTGCCCTTCCTGTACCCAGGAGGCTCACCTCCAGGTAAGACATGGACACGCTGTACTCCGTGTTGTCCTGATTCTCCTTGATAGCCTTGAAGAGGTCAGTGAGGGTCTGCAGGTAGATGCCGGGCTCAGCATCCATGCCCAGCATTGTATACGTCTTCCCGGCACCTGTGGGGAGGTGTGGCTCCTGAGGCAGCCCCAGGTGTATTGGATGAGAAGAGAATGGGTATGGGGGCTCATGCTTGTCATCCCAGCTGCTTAGGAGGCAGATTCAGGAGGATCACAGTTTGAGGCCAGCTTGAACAAAAAGTTTCTGAGAAGCTGGGCACTGGTGGCTCACGCCTATAATCCTAGCTACTCAGGAGCTGAGATCTGAGAATCATGGTTCAAAGCCAGCCCCGGAAGGAAAGTAGGTGAGACTCTTATCTCAATTAACCACCAGAAAAACAGGAAGTGATGCTGTGGCTCAAGTGGTAGAATGCTCACCTTGAGCTAAGGGACAGTGCCCAGGCCCAGAGTTCAAGCCCCACACTGACCAAAAGAAAAGAAAAGGAAAAAGAAAAAGTTCCTGGGGCTGGGAAGGTGGCTCAGTGGTAGAGCGCTTGCCTTGCATGCCTGAGGCTCTTGGTTGGATTCCTCAGCACCACATAAGCAAAAAGAAAAAAGCCGGAAGTGGCGCTGTGGCTCAAGTGGTAGAGCGCTAGCCTTGAGCTGAACAGCTGAGGGACAGCACCCAAGCCCAGTGTTCAGGCCCCATGACCGGACCCAAAAAAAAAAAAAAAAACAAAAGAAAAGAAAAAGTTCCTGAGAGCCAGGGGCTGGTGGCTAATGCCTGTAATCCCAGCTACTCAGGAGGCTAAGATCAGAGGACTATGGTTCAAAGCCAGCCTAGGTAAGGAAAGTCCATGAGACTATTATCTCTAATTAGCCACCTGAAAACTGGGAGTAGAGCTGTGGCTCAAAAGGGTAGAATATTAGCCTTGAGCCTTGGGACAATGCCCAGGCCCTGAGTTCAAGCCCTAGGACTGGCAAAAAAAAAAAGGGTAGGGGCATGATTGAAGTGGTTGAGTGTGAGGCCTTGAATTCAAACCCCAGCCCCTTTAAGAAGAAAAATGTAGGAAGAAGGAAGAAGTGGAGGAGGAAGAAGGAAGAAGAGGAGGAAGAGAGGAAGAAAAGAGGAGAAAGAAGAGGAGGAGAAGGAAGAGGAAGAAGAGAAGAAGGAGGAGGAGGAAGAGGAAGATGAGGAGGAGAAAGAGGAGGAGGAGGAGGAGGAGGGCAATTGGAAGTTGACCACCAAGTCCACTTCCTCCTGGGCAGTACCTGAAGGCCCGTAGGCGAACACTGTGGTATTGTATCCAGAAATGATCCCCTCCACCAGGTGCCCAATGGTGGCCTGGTATACGTCCTCCTGTAGACAGACAGGACATAAGTGGATGGCGCTGTGCACTGGGACTGGACGGGAAGTGTCATCTGTGGGTGGGCTGTCCAACTGCACAGCCCAGGGACATGCAAGAAGTCAGGAAAGACCTAGGCGTTGAAATCCCGTTGCCAACCCTGGCTGCATCGCTGGACAATCCTGGACACTCTGCCAAGCTTCACAGTGAGACGATGCCCACAGAGGCTGGGTTTGGGGAGGATTCATGGAGAAGGCTTTCAGGAATGGATGCCATCAAGCCTGATGCCAGCTGGAGACTGAACCCACACGAGTCATTCTCAACACTTCTTCCAGACCAGGAAGAGGCAAAGAGCTGGTGGCACATGCCTATAAATATAGCTACTCAGTAGCTGAGATTTGAGGATCTTGGTTCAACCTAGCCTGGGCAGGAAAAGTCCATGAGACTCTTATCTTCAAAAAATTACTCAGAAAAAGCCAGAAGTGAGCTATGGCTCAAGTGGTAGAGCTATGAGCAAAAAAAAAAAAAAAAAAAAAAACCTCAGATAAAGAAGCTTACAAAAGTTTTTCTTAAAAAGACAACATCTTGAAGAATGGGAAGGAAGCCTCGGAGTAATAAGGAAGGACCTTATGTAATCAAAGATTGGGATGCAAGGAGCTGGGCTGAAAGGGAACTGACAAATGAAAAGGCATTAAGAAGAGGAAGTTACTCAACCATGTCACTGTAACTGGGAAATGTGTGATCTAATTAATAAACATGCAGAGAACTCTGTATTACAAAAAAAAAAAAAGCTCAGAGACAATGCCCCAGGCCCTGAGTTCAAGCCTCAGGATGGGCACAACAATGACAGAGAACTGAAAGAGAGGGGCTGGGAAGGTGGCTCAGTGGTAGAACACTTGCCTTGCATGCCTGAGGCTCTGGGTTCGATTCCTCAGCACCACATAAGCAGAAAAAAAAAGCTGGAAGTGGCGCTGTGGCTCAAGTGGTAGAGCGTTAGCCTTGAGGTGAAGAGCTGCCCAGGCCCAGAGTTCAGGCCCATGATTGGACCCCCCCAAAAAACAAAACAAAACAAGAACTGAAAGAGATCATGGACTGGGGGTGATGACTCATACCTGTAATCCCAGCAACTGGGGCGGGGGAAGGGGAGATGGGGAAGAAGTGGAGGTAGCAGGGTCAGTCTTGGCTAGTCCAGGCAAAATGTGAGCCACGAATGTAAAAATAACGAAAGCAAGAAGGGCTAGGGGCATGGCTCAAGTGGTATAACAGCTGCCTAGCAAGTACAAAGTTCAAACCTCAGTAAACACACAAAAATAAACCAACCAACAAATAAATAATAAACAGAAATTGAGACACGAAGCTCTGGCCTTTGGCATGGGACAAAGCTGGGATGGGGCAGGGAATCTGGGAATGCCAGAATGTGAATGAAAGTACACATTTCCAGCAGCGGGAGTGAGCTCACAGTCCCCAGGGGTGGGCAAGGAGAGACATCTCAGGGCTCTGTGTGGCCTTGGACATAAAGGTTATTAGGACAGAAAAGCCAGGCTGCTCAGGCAGTGGCTGGGGAAACCCCTCTGCTTTCCAGTGATGCTGAGTCTTGAAGACTGGGTTCAGATCTTGCCCGGGGCAGGGGGTGGGGGCAGAGGGGAGGGGCACGGGGAGGCACCTGGGATGCATGCTGGTCGAAAACAGTGTCAAAGATGAAGGTGCGCTCCCGGGAACGGTGTGGGCGCAGGGGGTCCTCCGGGTCCTCGCCAGGGTCCATGAGCGCCACCACCTGGAAGCAATGAGAAGCAGGGGCCAGAGGACGGGCCTGAGATCCTGGGAAAGACCATGGCTAAGCCTGCCCCTCTGGACCCCAGCTAGGCAGGCTGAGAGCTCTACCCCACCTGTACCCTCTTCTTCCTTTTTCCTTTTTGGTGCCAGCCCTGGAGCTTCAACTCAGAGCCTGTTCCAGGTTGGCTTTTCTTTGGGAGGGAGGTGGGTGTCAGCCATGAGGGCTTAAATTCAGAGCCTGGGCACTGTTCCTGAACTTCTCTGCTCAAGGCTACTGCTCTAACAACTTGAACCACATAGCTTACTTCTGCCTTTCTGGTGGTTAATTGGAGATGAGAGTCTTATGGGCTTTTCTGCCCAGGCTGGCTTCAAACCATGATCCTTAGCTCTCAGCTGCCTGAGAAGCTGAGATGACAGGTGTGAGCCACCAGCACCTGGCTTGGCTTGGCAGCTCTTGAACAAATAGTCTCAATTTAGCACAATTGGAGAATCAGTAACTCACTAGGGGTAGACCTTGTAAAATGTAGAGTGCTGGGCTGGCTGCCTGTTGCTGTGTCTACTCTGCTGGCCCTGAGTCTTTCTCTTGCCTCTGGCTCAGGGGGCTGCATAGCCATGGGGTGGAGGGGTGGGGGGTAGGGCAGGGAGAACAAAGAGCATCCCAAACTCCATCCACGCCTTTGTTTCTCCAAGAGCCGGGTTGCCCCTGGGACCAGTTCACTCTTATATAAATACGTTATTATGAAGCCAAGCATATTAGACTCCCTGGGGATAGCCCTTCCCTGGGAATTAGGGGTCTGAGAGGGAAGACAGATTCACTGGAAACCACACATGCCATGGCTGGTGGGGATCAGGGGGGGCTGGAGCACTTGAGTGGAACCATGGAGTTGAAGGGTACAAAGCCCCAGCTTCAGCCTACTGCCTGATCCACCACCTAAGCCCCATCCCCCAGGTCCCGGGAGGCCAGGTCTCTGGGTGTTTGGTGAGTCAGTGATAACGAGGGTCCTCAGGGCCGCTCCTGGCTGTCAGCCAGCACTCATGTTCCATGACATGATCTAACTCCACTCTGCTTTTCCTTCACCTTCTGGGAAGGAAGAGGGAGGGGCATGGGACAGTGTGTGGGACAGAGATGAATGTACACACACGCACACATGCACGTGCACGTGTACACACACACACACACACACACACACACACACACACGCTATGGGCCACAGGAAGACTTGATGGGTCTTATACCAGGAGCCTTCCAACCAGCAGGGCTAGGAGGGGACTTGCAGAAGTGGGCTCTAAACCTGTTCAGTGGCCACTGCTTGCTGGCTAGGAGGTATTGGGTGATCTTAAGTCTCTAGATCTTATGCTGGCCTCCAGCCCAGCTTTTTTGCTGGTTCATTAGAGGTAGGAGTCTTCTGGCTTTGTCTGCCAAAACGGCTTTGCAGTAACTAGGAGTACAGACGTGAGCCAGAGGCACCCAGCCTCCCTCAGTTTTTCTATTTGTAAAACAGCCACAATCATAGAACCCATCCACCAAGGGGCAGGACAGATGAACAAGGCCTTGTGCACAGCCCAGAGCTTCTTTTGGTTCTTAGATCAAAAAGGTATTTTGTATAATTACAATTTATTTATTTGTTGGCCGTGGAACTTGAATTCAGGGCCTGAGCACTGTTCCTGGACTCTTCTGCTCAAGGCTAGTACTCTACCACTTTGAGCCACTACTTTCAGTTTTCTGGTGATTAATTGGAAATAAGAGTCTCATGGACTTTATTGCCCAGGCTGGCTTTGAACTGCAATCCTCAGATCTTCTTAGTGGCTAGCTAGGATTGCAGGCTTATTTTGTGTAATTATAAAGAACAGTATTAAGAGGACAAAAAGGAAAATCTGAATGTTATCTGTAGATAATATTGGGTTCATATGAACTTCCTGGTTTGCTTTCATTATGTAAAAGTCCAAGCTGGGCACTGGTGGTTCATGCCTGTAATCCTAGCTACTCAGGAGGCTGAGATCTGAGGATCATGGTTCAAAGCCATGGAGATAAGAGTCTCCAATAAACCACCAGAAATTGGAAGTGATGCTGTGGCTTAAGTAGTAGAGCACTAGCCTTGAGCTGAAGAGCTGAGGGACAGCGCCCAGGCTCAGAGTTCAAGCCTCATGACCAGGAGAGGGGGATTGGGGAGTTCCCTGTCTTTTTATTGGTTTTGCTGGTCTCATATTTGCTAATCAAGTACTCTATCACTTGAACCATAGACCATAGTCCTATCCCTCCCACCATTCTTTTTTTTCCTGGGGTTTAACTCAGCCCTTAGCTCCTAGGCACTATCTCTCTGCTTTTTTACATAAGACTGGCATTCAACCACTTGAACCACAGCCCCTCTTCCAGTTTTTTTGGTGGTTAATTGAAGAGTCTCCCAGCTTTGAAACTCAGTGCTGGTGGCTCAGGTCTGTAATCCTAGCTTCTCAGGAAGCTGAGATCTGAAAGCCAGCCCACGCAGGAAAGCCCATGAGATGCTTATCTCCAGTGCAGATGAGGCTCACTGGTCATATCATGTTCATGGTTGGTCAGGTGACAGTAGCACCACTATCTTAAGGGCAGACACTACTCAGTGTCTCCAGGCTGACCTGTGAGCTCTCATCACAGCACAGACGGTCTCCCTGCAAACTTTCTGCTCGCCTCAACTTGGTTGCCTGGGACCTCCTGGCCAGCTGTGCCCATCCCTAGGGGTTCTCTGCCCTCTGCCTGCATCCTGGTTCGTGGGTCCTTGAGCCCCATTTCACACCCCCTACTGTCAAACCTGGCAATCAGCCTGGCAAGTACATCCCAGGGCAACGGCTTCCCGAGCGGTGGGGCCGGGCTCCAAGCTGTCTCTGAGGAGGCTCCCTGGGGATTGCAGCCAATGGTGCCCTATCTCGCCACAGCCCCTGGGCCTCCAGTGCACATCTGTGCTGACCCTTCCCACTGAGCCCCCTCCCCTCCGCCCGCTGGGGCTGGGCCTGCTCCTGGCTCTGCCCTAGGCTCTCACTGGGTACTTGTGTGAGGGTGGTGTGCAGGGACCCCCAGCGCTCTGCATTTAAGGGCAACAGGGGTGGCTCAGCCCTACACTGGATTGGATCCCAGCTGTGTGGCAGCATTGGCCGAATGACTGAGTGACACAGATACAGGGCAGACAGCAAGGGGAGATGGATGACCACCACAGACCATCCAGACTCACCTGGTCCCCCACTTTGTGGGCAATGACAGTGGCCCCTTCTTCTAGTTCTGCACTGTTGAGTGGGCGGATCCTAAGTGCCACCTGTGGAGGGACAGGAGCAGCATGTCCGCAGGGGTCTCTCTGAGCCCACTCCCCCTTTCAACCCCAATACCAAGACCGTCAGCCCCAACTGTCTCTCCTTCTCTGGTAGCCTTGAGCTCTTAGGCAGCAGGAAAGGTCCCAGCCCTGAGTACACCTAAGCTCTGCTCTCAAAGAACACTTGTATGGTGTTGTTGGTACCTCTCAGCAACAGCAACCCTTTCAGGAATATAATCACTGAACAGAGAGGTCAAGTAACCTGCCCAAGGCCACCAGGAAAGTCACGAGCACTTTTAAAGGGTTTCCCATAAAGAATCCTACGCCTCTGTGCTATGCTCTCTGCCAAGCTTCTTTTTCCTAAGGGGGGCATTAGGCTCTGGGTTGGGACTGGGGATAGGGCTTGGTAGGGGCTAAGGATGCACCCCCACCCCCGTGTTGTCCCAAGTGCTAAGTTCCTGGAGAGGAACATTCAGAAGGCGGGAGGTGGGGGAGTGGGTGTGTGGGGAGCAGGACATGGAGAGCAGAGTGGGAACATAGTCTCATTATGGGGCTGAGAGTTGATGTGAGGGCGCTGGGTTTGGAGGCTGGGCAAGGTAGAAGCAGGGAGGGCCCAGGCCTCCACAGTAAATCAGCAGAGGAACAGGCAGGAGGGACTCACCATGAGCTGCTGGTCCTTGGGCTCCATTGCTCTTAGGGTGGGGCTGCCCCTGGCTGGGGAGAGGCCAGCAGCCTGATGTGAGGGCATCCTGCTGGTCAGGCCTGGCCCCAGCTGCCCGTTAGGTTGGAGACACAGAGACATCTCAGACCCGCCCCGCCCAGGTGACGTCAGCTGAGTCCCTGAGGATGGGGCTGGGCCAATCCTCACTGGGGCCACAGAGCCTGCCATTTGGAGCAGGGCCACGAAGGGCAGCTCCAATTCTATGTCCTTGAGACATGAGCCATAGGGCCCAGGAACCCCTAATAGAGCATGCACCTAATACCACAGCCACCCTGCCCAACACCTGCCCTTTACCAGCTCTTCAATGGAGGCCCCTCCCCACAGCCCACCCTGGGTTCCACCTGGGCTGTCAGGGCAGGCTCTGGGGCTTTGCTGAGGGGACAGGCTGAGGCTGGAGAAGCAATGGCAGCTATAAACACAATTTGCAGATGACTTTCAAGTTCCTGAGGAGCTAGGGTGTTCAGTGCACCAAGCCTACCTGATCAAGGTGGGCCAGATGAGTTTACTGCCTAAATGCTGCACTCCTTTCTCCTGGACAGACAAGGTTCTCTGGAGTTGACCCCCTCTGATACCATGCCTCCTCAGACCAAGCACCTGGCTGCCTCCTGGCAAAGCTACTCCCAGCCTCTTTCTTGGTGTCAGGAGGCTGCAATCCCACCAGTGAGAAAGGAAGGTCACCCTCAGACACCCTCATGATTCTTCCATGGGCATCCTCCAAGAGCCCAGAAATTTGTGTGCAGGTACCAGTGCTTGACCACCCGGAGCAGATGAGGCCCTGGCCCAGGTCCACAGTGTAAGACAGCAAGCACCAAAGGTTTCCAAAATCCTTTTATTTACAAATCATGTAAACCAATTACAATGATGCTTCAAACAGTGGCAAGTTTGAAAGTTTAAAACCCGTTAAATGTGCTAAAAGTCTGCCCTTTCCTTCTCAGCCATAAAATGAGAACACTGTGTAGTTGAAAGAACTGGGGAATAAACCCTGAAGCTCTGGGTTGAGGGGTGGGGGTGAGCAGAAGGCAAGTCAGTTCTGCCAGGTGTCTCAAGAAACCCTTGGATCCAAGGATCATGCTGGAGGGCAAGCACAGTGCTGTGGACAAGGACTCTGTGGCATTCCAGAGGCCAGTACTCCTCTCCCGGGCCCCTGGCTGCAGATCCCCCATTTCCAACTGAGCTCCACAAGGCTGGGTAGAAAGCAGGAGACTACAGGAAAACCCAGGCGCAATTGCACAGCTGCCACTCTCTTCTCCACAGAAGTGCTAACGACAGAGGTCCACTGAGCTGAACTGCAAGTCTTTTCGAGGAAAACAAATGAGAAACCGGTGGGGACCCACTGGCCTAACTTGTGGCTGGAGAGGCAGAGAGCCAGAGGCAGACTATAGAGAGCGGGCTGGTGTGAATGACCTTACTGCTGAGGGGGCAGGCACCTGAGGCAAGGCCGCTATCTCCGTGTAAAGAGAGGAGAAAGACAGGTTTTTCATACAGGTTTGTTTTTATTTGCATGTTCACCTGCAAAGAGAACCAGCCACACCTGGCTGGCCGAGGCATGTCCGGGGCAGGTATCTGCTCTCCAGAACCAGGCACTGGCTGGTGCATGGGACAGCAGGTGGAAGAGACGCTGAGCTGGACAAAGCCCTGGCCACGTCCCTGGCAGCAGGAGTGAAAGGAGTCAGCAGGGCACTGCAGAGTCCATACAGTGAACGTGGTGGTCGAAGAAACCCAAACAGAAAATGTGAAAGCAGTACCGAACCCCACTGTGGACACCAGGGCTTTAAAGGCACAAGGCTGTGTCGGGGTGGAAGAGCCCAGGGGTGCCCACATCCAGAGCACACACAGGTGAGGTCCAGGGGCCCTGCCACTTTCTGTACAGGACGGCCTCGGTTCCAGGGTGGAGCATAGCGACACTGCAAAGGAACCACAGGTCAGTGCTGTGTCCTTCCACATGCTAGGGCAACAACAGGAGCCGCTGCTGACCTAGCCCATGAGCAGGTACACAACTGCTACACTGAAGGGCTGGAAGAAAGATCTGCTTCAGTTCACAAGGGATGTGTGGTGCTTCCCATGGAGGGATTCCTGCAGAGGACCTCCCACGGGCCCAGGACAGAAATTGGATATGAGCCCTTCATCACTGCCATGAGGGGACCCCATGATCCACATGTTCCTGTGAACCCAATGACCTGGTCAGAGACAGCAAGGAGCCCTTCCTTTCCCAAGAGGATCTCACCACAGTGCTTGCTCATTCCTGGCTCCCAAGAGGAATGACCTCCTCGGTGACAAAGAACTCTATGGTCTCCTCCTCCCAGTCATCCACGTTGCTGTCCAGCTCGTCAGTGTCCACCCCTGAGGACAAAGGAAAGGCTAACCCTGGGCACTGCACTCATCAGGCCTGGCCCACCCATAGGGCAGGGAGATTCCTCATCTCTAAACAATTCCAGAACCTTCCACTTACCTCCTCGCAGTTCCAGACGCTCATTTTTCTGTTCCATGTAGAGTTCTTGGGCCCTTTTCCGGTATTTCCGGAAATCCTCCATCATGGTTCGTCTTCTTTCCACCAGTTCCTACAGGCAAAGTTGGGGGTCAGTTACATAATCAACATGGAACCCATCTCCATTCAGGTTATGTCTACTTAACCAAGAAGAAACATTCTCCCATCAGTAGGGACCCTGCAGGGTGCCAGTGGCTCATGCCTGTAACCCTAGCTACTCTGGAGGTTGAGATATGAGGAATGTGGTTCAAAACCAGCCCAGACAAGAAAGTCCATGAGACACCAGAAGTGGTCCTGTAGCTCAAATGGTAGAGTGCTCACCTTGAGCTGAAAAGCACCCAGGCCCAGGGTTCAAGCCCCATGACTGACAAAAATAATAAATATAATAGAGGGATTCTATGAGCCAGGCAAGGTGGCTCATGCCTGTAATTCTTGCAGGAGGCTGAGACTGGAAGAATCATTGTTTAAGCCAGCCTGGGCAAAAAAAAGTTCACAAGAACCCATCTTAACTCATAAAAACCAAGTGTGCACTGGGCACTGGTAGCTCATGCCTATAATCCTAGCAACTGGAGGCTGAGATCCGAGTCTCATATCTCCAATTAACTGCCAGAACACCAGAAGTAGTGTTGTGTGCTACCTAGAGGTAGAAGGCTAGCCTTGAGCAAAAGAGCTCAGGGACAGTGCCTAGGCCCAGAGTTCAAGGCCCACTATCAACAAAAACAAAAAAAAATAAATGTGGTGGTGTGTACCTATCATACTAGCTATGAGGGAAACATAAATAGGATAAGCATAAACATATATATCAAATGCTATTTTAAAACCAAAAAGGGTGATGGTTTAAGTAGTAGAGTAGTTCTCCCACCTCTAGAAGAAATGCCATGGTACACAGACCTCCTCCAGACCTACCCAGTGCAGGGTGCCCTCCCGTCAGGGCCAGGGTAGACAGAGTCTCACCTTTGAAGCTTTGGACTGGCTCAGACGATCCTTTTGCTCAAAGATCTTTGAGTATTTCTTCAGATCCTTCTTTATTTGCTGAAACAAAGACTGACTCAGTACTGCACAGCGTGCAAGCATCTTCAGCTGCAGATGAGGTGACCCCACAGCCTGGGCATGCACACCTTTGCTGGGCCTTGCTCTGCCCTCACTGCCGGATCCCCCACTCCCTGCCTACCCCACTGCTCTCAACACCACCTCCCCTCCTCCCCAGCTTTGTGGATCCCCACTAGGAAACTTCCTTCCTGTCTGGCGCCATGTGTGGACCTCCTGCAGGCTGGTGGAGGCCACCTCCACACTTTAGACCAACCTTTCCATTTGGTCCCCCAGCTCCCTCAATGGGCACTCTACTTTCCTCTCCTACATGCCTATGTGTGGCCAGGCTGCCAACCTTTATCTGCTCCTGGCTGAGAAGTGATGGGGGCCGTGGTCTCCAGAGCAGCTGGCAGAAGCGGTCCTTGTTATTCTTCTGCAGTAAGCGTCCTTGGAATGTCCACAGCCAGTAAGCGTTGTCTACCTGCAAAAGGGCAGTGGGTGCCCTGAGTGGGCAAGTGCCTTCTGTGCCAGACAACCCAACCATCACACTTGTCAATCATGTTCTGGATGTGGTCTCTGATCTCACTGTACATACCTCACATTAGGGCGGGCAGCAAACAGGAGGCATAATCAACTACAGACTACATGTAGATAGGAGTCACATGCGTCCCTGTCTAACCACAGCCTGCAACAAGAACCTTGTGCCAGAACCTGTAATTACACCTGGCTCTGTCAGCCAGCCTCATATCACAATACAGGATTTTCCTGATGAAGTAGTGCCCTGACTCCTGCACTGCATGGTCACCTTCACAGACCAGCACTCTGGGGATCAAGGGCTCCAAAAGCCGTGGCCAGTGCAACCTTATCTGACCACAGAAACTACTACCCCAGGCAGGGTTCCCAGTGTGTGTGGAAAGCTGGCTTTTCTGCGAGTTCATCCTCTGCACAGAACCCCTGACCACCTCACACATGCAGACTGGAACAACAGCTCAGTGAAAATAAGTCATCAGGAAGTGGTAGCATGGATCACACACAGTAGAGAGCTAGCTGTGAGCTGAAGAAAGCTCAGTACAGGGTGAGGCTCTGGGTTGTTTTTAGGTTCGAGACCAGTACTTAAACTTGGTATTTGATGCTTTTGCTCACTGGCTGGTGCAACCAACCGAGGCATGTCTCCAATTCCAAGACTCTGAGTTCAAATACTAGTATTGGCAAAAGAAAAAAGTCATGAAAGACATTCTTGACAGATGTAACCCCCATTTAGGTGCAGTGAGCCCACCATAGAGCAGGAGGCACTGCACAGGATATGGCTTTGTGCTTTCTCAGCCCCTCTGGGCACAAGCTGACAGGCTCCAGGCCATGGACCTCTGAGAGCTCCCTCTTAGCCACCCACCAATGGTGCTGCTCCTGAGCATGGCTTGCCATCTGCCACCCCGAACCCTTCACCCACTTTCACAGACAGCAGCCTTAATTAACTCTGGCCAGACAGTATAATGAAATCAGAAATCAAGGCCAAGCTGGGTGCCAGTGGCTCACTCCTGAAACCCCAGCTACTAGGGAAGCTGAAAACCAGAGGATCCTAGTTTCAGGCCAGTCTAGGTAGGGAAGTCAGGACCCATTTCCTCACAAGGATGCTGGAAAGGTGACCTGCCCCTGCAATCCCAGCAGTATGGGGAGCCTACAGCAGTCAGATTGCGGCTTGGGTATATGCCTAGGCAGGAAAGAGGCTCCATCACCAAGTAACCAGTGAAGACCAGCTGGGGGCCTGGATTAATGGTAGAGTATCTAGCAAGCAGGATAAGATTAAAAAAAAAAAAAAGCCCCAGAAACTGAGGGGAAAAAAAGGTCAAAGACAGAAAGTGCCAGGCTCCAGTCTCCCAAGGGTCCAAGGAGCAGGTCTGGGCCATCAAGTCCCTACCTTATGGCTCCACCAGGACACAGAGGTGACCACATAGCGCCCAGTCGGATCCCACTCTACGTCAGAGGCCATGTAGTGCTCGGCGATGTTCATAACGGTGCAGTCTGAGGTGTCCACAAATGCCAAGGCCCCGTTCATGCTGTGGACATAGCATAAAGGCCATGTCACACATGGGCCCTGAGAGGCACAGGGGGCCACAGGGAGCAGAGCCCTAGGCCCTGCTGCCTCAACCCATGTTTACCAGGCAAATAATCAGAGCAACCACCTCAAAACAGTGTGCCACTATGGTGCATGGACGGGCTGTGGTACTACCACTTCTTTAGTCCTATCCCAGGATAAGAGCTCCTCTATAACCACAGTAACCATCCATGATATAGCAGGGGGGAAGTGACAGGGACCCTTTCCCCATGCTCAGCCAGGATGGGCTCTCGCCTACCCCAACATGCAGAGCACCCATGACCCACCTTCTCAGCCCGGCCAGCACAACAAACTGCCCCTGGGGACTCCAGAAGATGGTGTTAGCCTGCTGCTTGTCGAACATCTCTGAAAGGAAAGCCACGCTGGGTGAAGACTGCACGCCCAGTTTTATGGCCAAGATACAGTGCCAGGCCTGCCCCAGGAGGCTGGTGTGTATACACGTGCATATGTGCACACACACACACAGTTACACATACCACAGACCCACTGCTGATGCAAGAAAGCTATCTCATGAGTTGGAATGCTTACCTCAAAGGGGAAAAAAAGGAAAAGCAAAACTACTGGGGTACTTTGAAGGAAGTACATATTGTCTTTTTAATTTCACAAGACAATTGACAAAGGATTCCTGACATGAAGTACTTATTAGGGCAGTGTCTCATTAGGGAGAAGTGACCCCAACAAAACTCAGGGGCAATCCTTGTGTGTTCATAAAACTTCCTAAGTCAGGGCTCAGAAGGTGGCTCAGTGGTAGAGCACTTGCCTTGCATGCCTGAGGCCCTGGGTTCGATTCCTCAGCACCACATAAGCAAAAAGAAAAAAGCCGGAAG